AAACAACTATATGAAAGAAACAGCCAAATTTGAAGGTCACAGGCCAAATCCTTGGCACAGTTGGGGAATGAGGAAGGAAATCCAACTCTTCAGGTTCCGCTTGAGCACTGGGGCTGTTTGCAGTAGGGTGTGTGCTGATTCCAATGTCCAGAATAAGCAGCTTGGTCTTGCCTAGTGATTGTTCTTTGTAACAGGGAATATGTGCAATTTGCCCATCTGCTTTATGCTGTGACTGTGCTGTGCAGAAACCTGCCTTTTTATAATTCAAATATGAAGGTGTAAAATGAAGCTACCAAACACATCATCTGGTTACTGGGCAGGAGGAGTGTTACATGCTGTTTGGCTTTTCATATTTCATCCTCTCCTCTTCCACCTTTTCCCATTATCCTGAATAATTGAGAATTGGCTGTGCTGAAAAGTTAGATGATTAAGATTTTTCTGAACTGCCTGCAGGTAACTTCAAAGGCTTTGGTTTTTTCCTTTGTTCCTGTCTTAAACTGAACAGTGTAATTGAATTGTGATGGTATCTGTAAATGTTAGAAATACAATTCTGTTTATAAAAGCTTTCAACTAAACTGATTCAACCACAAAAAGTGGAATGAAGGATTTTTCTGTATTTTTTTAAATTTGGCAGCCAAGAGGATGACTTTTTTGCTTTAAAGCTTAACTGCTCTTTGAAAGCACACAAAATAAGGATACAACAAAACCAGGAACTAAGGGTGAAGGTTAAATCCTCCAAACCACACTGCTTACATTAGATTCCACTTGCGGCATGACCATGAGGCAAGAACAATGCCTGTGCTTAGCTTTTCAAAAGCTATGCTGTGCACACCCATCACTCATGCCACTGCTAAGATCTTTGCTGTGTGCATTCAAGAGTTAGCAAGCAATGTCTGGATATTATTCTGTGAGGGGGAAATAATGTGGATAAAAAAGAGATTTCTTATGTGCATGAGGATAGCTAATTTTCTTTTGCTAAGTTTCAAGTATGGTATTTAAAAGCAAGCCAGTTGCATTCCAAACATTCTGAACACTTCCCTAAATAAACTTTGAGGAATTGAGGTTGAAGACCTGTTTTCCAACAACAGTGACACAGGACCTGACTGTGCCAGGCATTTTGAACAACTAGAGAGCTTCAGACTGTCCAGTCTCTGGTTGTCTAGAGCATGTCCTGAGCATATGGCCTTCCAAAGAATGCTTTTCCATGTGGACCTAGGAGTCCTTCTGTGACAAAATAAGAAAAATAAGAAAATTAAGTCATAATCCTATGAAAGTTTACACATGCATATAAAGGGATCTTGGATCAAAGGGTATGGGTTGGCAGCTTCTGAAGGTCTGGAAGATAAATGGCAAAGGTCCCCAAAGAGCTTATCTTACAGAGAACTCCTGCCATATATGTGTATCAGCTTTGGAAAGGGCTGCTGGTGGTGTAAGAGGAAGCAGGAAATCTGGCCTGCATGGCTTCAGTAGAAGCTGATGTCTGCTTGAGGACTTTATGTAGAAGTAAACTACTGTTCCCTGTGCAAGAGGGACTCTTGCTAAAGCATCACTGAGAAGCTTGCTTGATGCCAAGACTTGAAGAAGGAGCTGGAAATGTCTGCAAGCTGGGAGCAATGGGAACTTTTTCACTTGTTCATAGAATTCCCTAAGAGGGTGTGTAGCTATTGACTTTGTGGATATAGAGGATGGTTTATTGTCTTATCCATATTTAGCAGGTGTTTTTCAAGGTTCACATTATAAAGAAAGCAAAAAACCCTCCACCTTTATTGACTGATAAACTTTTTACACAGAAAAATGTCCTCCACTCATTCCTGTATTTATGGGCACTGCTGGCAGTACTAAATATTATCTTTAAAAACATCTTTGTTTAAACTTAATCCTTACATAACCCTTCAGCCTAGGCTGTGGCATGTGAAATGGGTCTGAAATACCCTTGCTCTTCATACTTGTGCTACTGTCAGCTTCTGCCTTATTGTTCTTAGTATCCATTAAAGAAACCAGCCCATTCCTTAGTGCTTTGTGTACACTTTGATTCTCCCAAACCCTTGAATTGTTAAGCTATGCCACTGGGAGTATGTCTCTGACAAATGCGTGTGATCTACACTGCACTCAGCTAACTTCAGGCAGTGGAGATCTGAGTTCTGCTTCCCCCTGAGCTGTAGTTATAAGGAGTGTGCTAAAACAATAGTCAATTTTCAGAGAATTGAATATCTGTTTAAGTAGCCTCCAAATCAGCCCTCCTCTGGGAAAAAGGGATGGTTTCTTGTCTAGTCAGAACCTCTCTCTTCTAATGTTGCCAGGGAACAGTCAAGGCTGGGAACAAGTTTTGTAAGTTGGCTGAAGCCCAAAGGGAGGATCCTTGCAAGCAGTACCTGTACCCTGTGTCTCCTAACAACCCTGAGGGGGTTATCTATGCTGTCACCCACTGAATGGGCTGGCTACTCTTGGGTCTCCTTCAAATCCACACCAAACTAAATCAGCCTAGCAGGATGTTTCTGTAGGCATAGCAGCATCAATTTACAGCTTTCCTGGAGTGGCAGCCCCAGGCCTGTGAAAGACAGGATACCTGCTAACCTGGGATTGAAATGACTTGGTAGCTAAAAAGAGGTGTGGAAACCATGTCTGATTTTTAAAGAAAGGAGAGAAACAGTGCTGTGCTTTGGAGCAATCTGTTAGTGAATTAAGAATACTCAATAATTGATTCCCCCTGAAGATATTCTTGTTTTAAATATTTCTGACTTGTTTGCTGTTCAGAGACTGGAGCTGGACTGCTGACTTCTAGGTGTAGTCTTTGGGGGAGGAAGATGAGGGAAAGGTAGGACACATCTCCTGGCTGCTGCTATGTCACCTGACGTGCATTGTTCCAAGGGCAGGGAGGGCCACCTTTAAAAGATACCTTGGCAGTACTTTCAGAGGTTCTTATACTAATGAGGCTTCATTAAATTGGAGTAGGAAGGACAGAGCTTTCTTGGTCTAATCAGAAGGGTGTTTGTTGAAGATGGTGTATTTCTTTTTCAGAGCTATAATTCTGTGTAGAGCAGTGACTCTTGAAGGAGAGCAGCTATCTGTTGGCCTGGAGTATAGGCTGGCCTCTTCCAACTGAATATGAACTTAAGATGCCATGCAGGAGGTCTGACAGGGCAGACGTACAGATTATCTGGCTTAGCAGTTCTTCCCATGGAAGCTTGGCTTCTTCACATTGAGTATTTTTTTCTTTCCATGGTCTAATTGTTGCTGAAGGTTTTCTAACAAGTCAGTAAAAGTATCCTTATTCCATTCTGCATGGTGGAAGTTTGCTGAACAAAGCATTGGCTCCTTATCCATGGAATATATGAGAAATCTATAGGCTGTGCTATAGGCAGCGTGGGATAGATTCGCTCCTCTCCCTCCCCCTCCAAATGAAGCAAGAAACAAAAGGGGTAGACATACAGTTTATTGTCCCAGAAGCTGCTCTAATACATATGATACTTTAAATGTCATCTTCAAGGGTGTATGCAGACAAAGAATTTTTCTTTGAGAGACTAGAAAGAATTATCCAAATTTTAAAGATAGCTCTTTTGTCAGGTATATATAAGCATAGTAGTGCCATGGAACTAAGGGAAAACCCTCTTCTCGCTAGAATGCCTACCAGGTTTATTGGAAAATCTACATATTACCTCCCGTAATACATCTACTGATTTGCCCGAGTAATTGGAAATGTGAGTTGAGGGTGTTTTTGTGGTGTGTTTCTGTAGTCAGTGCTGGTGTATTGCTTTAATCTCAGAAGCACTTAAGGATCTGGAAGTTCTGCCTTCCCCAGTAGTAGGAGTGCTAACCCAGATGTCCTCTTTGTCCCCACAAGGTACAAAAAAGTGTGGTACCTGCCTCTGCACCTCTCAGATCTCTTTGAGATTATCCAGCAGTTTTGAATTTCCTTGGGAAACTGGGCCAAATAAAAAACCTAATCCCCCTTCGGTATGCATATTCATTTAGCTGAAAAAGCTGCAGCTGAATGGGATTTTCCTCAGAGTTAAAAGTATTCCTGTTGTCAGGTGTAAAAAACATTAATTTTGGCAAATTTGTTTTCACCTGAGAGCTTCAGATGTGTAATGAACAGCAGGATACAAGTGTTGAAATCGTATTTCCATATGGGGTTTGTTTGGCTGTTTTTATTTTATTGGTTGATTTGTTTTTCCAGGGTGTTTTTTGGTTGGTTGGTTGGTTGTTGATTTGTTTGTTGGTGTGTTTACCAATGGAGGCCTTGCAGGTTAAAACTACAGCAGGTTGGTGAAATATGTGTTCTGCTGGGTCTTCATAAAAAGTAAAGGTTTGGCTTTGTGCTTTTTCTGTTTCCCAGCTGTGCTTTGTGTGTTTGTGTACAAGGCTGTTTTTGCTGTGACAGTGCCTCATAGGCTGTGGGTGAATCCCTCAGGTATGAGCAGTGTCACATCCTGCAGTTTTAATTGCTGTGCTCTATCCTGTCAGATCATCATACCTGAGGTTTGCAAGTTGTTTTACATTCCTCCTCGTAAGCGTGTGTTTGCCTGCCGGCTGGCTGTCAGGATCGCTGTGCCTCTCCAGGTGGCTGAAGAAGCATTTGATGGATTTATCCTAGCTGTCTAGTACAGTCTGCTGTGTCAGAGACCTTCTGAAAAGTGGTGGGGGTGTAGGAAGACTGGCTCTCTTGAAGAATCTTTTGAAACAAATCCTTCAGATGCTATGTTCTCTGGGGCTGTCTTGAAAGGAAAAGCTAAAATTAATTGTAAGCTAGGCAGTCTTCTCATTTGAAACATCAGACAGTGAGGGAAAAGTTATGGTCTCGCTAATACAGCTCCTTTTAGTCTTTCCTGTGTAGATAGCTTTATCTGCTCCTGTTACCTTGAGAACTGTGAGCACTTAGATTCCTAAGTGCTAGAACATGTAAAAGGTTTCTCTTTGTTTCTAGCTTTCCCTTTTCCTTCTCCAGGTGTTGTAGGTGTTTGGCTCAACACTTTTTCTTGCTTTGTCTGTTTGTTTTTTAGACCAACGTGCTCCTGATCAACCAGATCTTTCAGAAATTTTTTTAAAAGAATCCTTGGTGGGTAAAAGATGTGCCATGGAATGGTAGCATCAAAGAGCAGCACAGGATCATCTCTTGCCTTGACTGGCCATGGGTTATTTTGTCTGCTAGTTATCTTTGGTTCCTTTATCTTGGAAGCACAGTCCACAGGTAAGTGAAACCTTTATATATGCTACAGGGAGGGGGAGGTATATAAGTTTGGAAGTGGCTGTATATTTTTTGGTGAAAACTGGCAACGGTTGATGTATTTGTACACATCTTTTTGTACTCACAGGAAAAATTCCATCACTACTTGTTGAGCAGAGCATGAAGTGTCTGAACTGAATGAGTCTTGTGTATTAGTAAATAAGTCCTTGTCCTTCATCCCGTAGTTTTGATTCCCATGGGGTTTTTTTCCTCTCCATTCTCATCTCTTCACTTCAGCTGGTGACTCTTGGGGCATCTCAAGAGCATGAACCATGTTTTGTTGAGTGAGATTCTCATGTAGACAGTGTTATCTGTGTTCCCTGTAGCAACTGTTCATCTGAAGGGGTAGAAGCAGAGATTGTGTCCAGCTCTGTTGCACAGCTGCTGAATCTGTTCAGTGTTTCTTTGTATGCTACTTTGTGACACCTTAATGCCTGCTAGCTGCGCACCTCTATTGGATCCTCTTTTCAGCTTAAGTTTTCCCTCTCCCCTCATCTCTTGATGTTTCTCAAATGGTTGAGTGTTGTGAATAGTGTAAGTAGCAGTGGAATGGGATGAGATGAAAAATGTCACCAGAGATGGGAGATCTGCCTTTTAGAAATGAGTGGAAGAAGGAAATGTACTGGATACTCAGAAGGGTATTACATGATGTGGAGGGTGTGCTTGATTACCAATATACCCTGAAATATGTATTTTTTTCTCAGACCAGCCATGATCCAGTTTTTGTCTGTAGAGAGATGTCTGGTCATAGGGGACATGAGATGGAAGGAGGAACTCTGTTTGCTCTTACAAGAACTTTGAAGGAGTTAATCCCAAAGGGACAGATTTGACTTTAGCAGCTGTTGTAATGTAAAGCATTAGCTTGCCTATGTAAAGAAAACCTCAGTTCTTGACATAACTCTAAAAAGTCCTATTTATTTGACATATCATGGCACCTGAGAATGTCATGTGACCCACATTCCTCAGCATCAGTGTGGTAGAGCAGAATAAACATTAGCTGCCAGATGCACTCAAAGTTGAGATGATCCTGTATGGAAAAGTCTGCTGGTGCTGAAAACGTCTGGAGGAGGAGTTAATTTCCTTTTACTATTCCTGGCTCTTTGAGTTGGAAGGGAGAGACTGTTGAAATCAGATATCTCAGGCTTATGTGTCTTCCTGACCTGATTTTGGCCTAGTAGGTAATGAGGGGGCGGGGAGGACACCCTTCAGAGCATGACAAATTGTCATGAATAGTTAGTGACAATAGAAAAAAGACAAGATCTTTTTGATTCTGGGCTATCCATGTTTTTTTTTCCAGCCTTGCTGTTGGTGATGGTGTCACTGCCTCATTTCAGATGCAGGCCTGTCAGATATGCCTTCCAGCCTGGGGCACCGTCTGAAAACCCCATTAGGCACTGCAGCACCTTCAACTGAGACTGCAATCAGTATGCAAATGCCTTGTGCTGCACGGGCTGCTGCACGGGGAAAAGCTGCCACAATACTGGCAATCCTTTTTAATATAATTTTTGAGACATCCAGTCATGTTACAAAAGCACTAGTTAGTTAGGCATGCCAGAAGACTCAGGAGTGATTCTGCATTGTGTTTCCCTTTCTGTGTTCTTTTTTCTTCAGGATCTGAAACCAGTTGTGGTGAACTGCTCAAGGCAAATCATCAGCTAAACAGGATTATAGTGGCAAGGCAGGAAGCATTTCCTGCAGGGGAAGTGAGAAAACAGAGGGGAGCCAGGATCATAGCAGAGGGCAGGACACGCAGGGGAAGAAGTCCTGGGGAGGGCTCGCTGAGGAGCGCTTCCATGCACGGTTTTCCTGAGACTGGGATGTAGCAACCCAAAAGCCAACTGCTGGGAAGGATGGGGGTGCTCAGTTGATGTGTCATGGGCCCAGGGAGCTGCGTCTGCAGCAGCGTGCCAGCCATGAGTAACATTAATGAGCGAGTCAGCTGAGGAGCAGAGAGCCAGATGGAGAAACAAAGAGTACCGGCGAGGCGCTTGGAAATCATCTTTCTTCCCCAACCACCTCGCCATCCTCACTTTATTGCTTTGCATAGCAAAGTCATTCAGAGCAAGCAGAGCAAAACAATGTTAGCATGAAGCAAGAGACTGTATTAAATCTTGCGGTAGTAATGCTTATCTTGAATGTGGAGCCAGTGTGACAAGCTCAAAATTGCTACAAGAGCAGAAGAATGTTCTCATAAAAAGACAAGCATGGAGACAATGCCTGGCTCAGCCCTGAGTGAGAAAGCAGAGCTTGTGATCATATGTATAAAACCATGTGAAGTATATTGTATTGCAATCATTTTGCTGCTTAGACATTCTATTGCTTAAGTTCCAGGAAGCTTAGAGATATATTCATGATCTGTGCAGGAAGATGTTCTCTTTGCCATGTGGTGAATGCAGAGAGCAGACTCATTTTCAGTCAGCAAGCATCTGCTCTGTCCTCTGGTAATAAGTCGATTTTATTTATGCATGGATTTTTAAGAAAAATCCTCAGCACTTTGTCTCAAGCAATCTATCCAAATATCCTCGAGTGCCACGAGATGAATGTAAGTTGCTTAGTCACAAAGCATACTGCAGGACTTGGGGGAACTGTTCCCTTTTCATAGGAAGATACATCCATGAATATGAAAACAACCACTGCATATATTTTAACACAAAACAAATGCAGCATTTGGTAATGGGCAAGCAGTGAAGCTGTGTCAGAAGAGGAGGATTTACGGAAACTTGAGTGCTGCTCAGGAATATTTTTTGAGCTTTATCACAGTTGTGTTTTTCCTTGTCTGGCAAGTTCTCCAAGATTAGTTGTGGGAAATAATGAAGGAATGAGCAGGCAAGGAGACTTGGAAAGCTCCTCAGTAATACTGAGGCTTAGCTCATCTGACTTTTCTGTTTCTTTGAGGGCTCAACTGGAATGTAGCTAAGAGCCAGGATGCTTAGTAGATAGAGGTGGGGAATTTTTGAAACATTGGAGAGGAGCCATGACAACCTTTTTATCTGCATTTTCACTTTTTTCTTTGTTGCTGTGACTTCTGTAATTTTTTCCCCTCTCCCTCTCATCTCTGTCCCTTAAGGCCTTGTATCTATGTCTCATTCACAGTGGTCCTCCTGCCTGGCCAGGCTATTTTTGGAAGAATGACAGTGGATCAGATTAAGTTGTTCATTAAATTTTAACCTGTAGTCTGTAAAATACTCTGAAAGCTTTCTGTGATTTATGTTCCAAATGTGTAATCTCTCTTGGATTCATGACTGACTCTGTCAGAAACCTCTCAAAACAGGTTGGGCCTTTCATTATTGATAATAGCATCGCCTGATTCTGTGAAATGCAAGTAAATGTGCTGGTAAAACTGTTAAACATCCCGAATTAAACAAATATCAGTACCCATAAAGGAGATACTTGAAATAATAACCTTTAAAAATTAAGAGTAATGCAGGCTTGGTGACTCTTAAGTCCATTTAGATTTAGACACAGTCTGATTTTTGTTGACTGCACGTGCAAAATGCTATAAAGTTAGCTCTTTAATTTTTAGGATTGCCATTAAAGTGATAAATTGAGCTTGAATAAACTGAAACGACTTCATTCCTGTGTGTTGTCTCTGACGCAAACGCAGCCGGTCTGCTGCTTGCTGTTCTAAGGTCTTTTCAGTGCCAAGGTTATTCTGCACAGAAGCTCTTGGATACCGCTGGTATTTGTTTGCATTGCGCAGAGCAGCTTGTTAGAGCGCGCTCCACGCATTGAGCAGATTCAGACTTGTTCCTATTCTTTGGGAATCTCTGCGAAGCAGAGGTTTCCTTTGTCTCTGATTATGCAGCTGAAAGGAAGGGGTTTACACAGCTAGGGATGAATTCAATAGCCTTGGCAACAAGGACACTATAGCACTGGATGGCCAGACAGAAATGTGGAAAGTGTCATGCGTGAACAGATGATCTTGATTCTAACCTGTATGCTTTATGTAAGTGTGGGTTTGGAAAAATTACAGCGTCAGCCCAAAGCACTGTGGCCTTCTGCATGGAGAGAAAGGGGGGGAGCATTTTCAGGAGCAATTCCTCTTTCCAGTCCCTTTGTAAAGCTTAAGAGCAAAGTGGTATGGAAGAGCATGGTGAGGAGGTGCAGAATAATGACCAGGCTGCAGATGCAGATAGGCCCAGAATTAGACTATTCATGTAACAATAGTAATATTCACACTGCTACATACACTGACCCAGGCAGTGTTACTTAAGTAAATGCCTTGAAGGGAGTAACAAGGATCTCAAGAAGCCACATAACTTGTTTAATTTAACGAGTTCTATTGGCTGAAGAATGAATTAAAGCTTTGTGACGTTTAGCTAACTGCTGGCTTAAACCATGATAGCATAATAATAATAATCCTGTGTTTTCCTTTTGTTTGTCCTAGGTTGGCTGAGCAAATCCAAAGGACCTGCATGTGAGTAAACTTACATTCACTACTGTACTATGAGAAATTAGTGTGATATTTTACTGGTTAGTTGTAAGTGTCTGTGAGCTGGGATTCCCATTTGGTGTGTTGGATAGGCTTAAAATTCATCTCTATGCCTCATTTTAATTTTTGACCCTTGGATTTGGGGTTGACGACTGTCCTCAGCTTGAGAGAGGGAGATCAGCTTCACCTCTTTCGCTGTGCTTGGAAGAGATCCTTGTGTCTTCTACAGCATTTAACTTAAAATGACTCAAGAAAACAAGAAATCAGAATAAGTATTTCATTAAATGCAGAGACATGCTGCTTGTGAGAGTTTTGAGAGGCTGACAGAGTATTGAGAGGACAGGGAGAACAGGCTGAGGTAAAAAAAAATCTTTCATTTCCTTTAATCAAGAAAAGTGAACATCTCAGCATGATTCTTGATGTATTCCATTGGATATCCCTGCTTTTAATTTCATGTGCCCAGAAAAAGTCTAAAGTCTTTCTAGTGGCCATGTTATGGATGCATGCAACTTTGGAAGGAGTTGGGAAGCATATTTGTTTTCCTTATCTTTTCTAAATATATAAAATATAATTTTCTGTTCATTTTTATTAAACTCTGGAAAATTATTTGTTTAGTCTGAACTTCCCCCCTCCTCTAAAAACAACAAAACAAAACCCACAGGAATAAAATCTGAGGGGACTGGATTAATGAAAAAGAATTTAAAGGTGTGGAAAGGGAGTTTTAGCACCTGCCAAATTTTGGTCTTCAGAAAGTGCTGGTTAAGAAAAGTCCTGATGGGATCATATTAATCCTCTATTTTTATTCAATGCCTGAATATTACTTCTGGCAAGAAGAGTGGTATCACACACACATAGTATTAAAGGGCTTTCAATTCTTGGCTGTGGTTGCTAGCAGGAAAATCAGCTGTTTTAGGAAAAACCTCAAGAGTTGTCTGGTTCCAATTCATCGTAGCTTCTTGGGTTAGAATGTGAAAGATGGAAACTGGTAGGAGTTCCATTGTAGAGGGAAGTAGGAGGGGTGCTAAGTGTCATATCCTTTTCTGGAGAAACCAGTTGTGAACTACAGTCCAGGTTCTGATCCATCACCATTCTGGTGTTCCTTGGAGACTGCTGCCCACTAGTCTGAAGCTACAGATTTCTCTGTCTCTTCCTATTTTCACTCAGACCTTTCCTTTTTATTTGCTAGAGTCAATCATTTGGGAAGTCAGGAAAAGTCCTGAAAGTGGGATAGAAAGTTTGCTTATCACCTTGTCCCAATTCCTCTCCTGCTTCTGTCCCTTTTGAATCCTACATTGGTTCCCAGTACAGCTGAGGCACTATGTTTTTAGAATATGTGCAATGTTTTTCATCTGTGCAACCCATCTACCTTGCTTCTCCAGCCCTTATGTTTAACCAAAATACCACAAGCAGTTACCGCTTCCTGTTCGTGCTGCCAGCCAATAGTGATTCTGCAGTGGAGATGGCAGAGCAGGAAGTACATTTGCTGTGGTACTGTGGCAAAACTTCAGCTTGGGCTGTTACTGCAAGTACTGTGTGGTGCCCTCAGCATGCTGACGTGGGTGACAAGGAAGAAACGTGGTAGGGCAAGGCAGGAAGCTATAGATTGTTGAGTCATCAGCTTTTGTGGCTGAATCTCTCCAGGCTCTGCTAAACCTGGGAGTCTGTGACTAGATGGGAACTGCTAAAACACTGCTGGTAACAAGCTGCCAATAGTCAGGAGTGAAGATGGTACTCAAGGCACTTGAACTGCAAGCTCAGAAATGTTTGTACCTTTGTGAAAGTAATTGGAGCAGGATTATGGCATTGTCACAAGAGGTTGTACCTGCTTATCTGTGTGTGCAGGTCTGCATATAAAAACACATTTTGCTTTTAATGAACTGAAACCTCTGGGGAGCATTTGTCTTCCCCTGCAAACAGGAATTCCCGAGGCTCTGCTTCTGCAAAGTGTTGCATTGGAGTTGGAGGACTGCTTCCAGATGATGTTAAAGGGATTTGAAGTAACCCCTTAGGTGTGGGGCTGCATAGATGAGTTACAGGATGTGCTAGATGGATTGGGCTGGAGCAGGATTGTTGCTAAACTGTTGAAGAATAAAACGAGCCCAGCCTAGTAATAATCTCAGGAGGTTGCTGGAATGCTTCCTCATTGCTTGTGTACTTTGGCATGGCTGGTGCTGGATGGAGATGCCTTCTGTGTTCCTTCTCTATAGGTCCAATGTTGTGAATGCAAAAATAAGTGTGTTTATACACCTGGCATAGTAAGAAGTGTTTCAGTGGAAACAGAAGCCAAAGAATCAAACAGTAGGTTAACAAAAGAGCATCCTGAAATCCTGTGGGCTCAGCATTTTAGGTCTAGCTAGTCATCTTAATTCAATTGGGAAAATATTTCTTGTTTGAGAGCAAAAAAAGCACTGTTGCTGCTGCTTTTGAGATACATCTTTTACTTTGTCAGTAAAGGCAAAATATGTCTTACTTGAAAAATGTTGCCGTGCTGTATGTAGAGTGAGATAAGCACCTCTGGTGGATGTTGTCTTGAGTTTTCAGCCCACAGAAACATGGTAAGCTTTGACATGGTAAGCAGAGTCATAATTAGAAAGTTGAACGCTGCGCTGCATTTCTGGCTAGAAAGAGCATTTTCTGTGTCCTGAGAAAAAGACCAACATAATGTGTAAAGAATTTTGTGTCAGACATACCCTTAGACACTCATAAAACTGTCCAGAAAGAGAATAAAACTTTTTTTTTGTGCTCTTACCAATGTTGTAAGGCAAATGAGGATTTGTAGGAGGGTGGTAGAAGAGATTGATTGTGAATGAGGAACAGTAGAGAATGAGATTCCAGGAAGGAGAGGAGGGGGAACAGTACAGCAAAACAGGAAGGTGGCTGTTTCCAGAGGTGGAGTTGTGAAAAAGATCCTGGTGGTTTATGAAGCAAATTAGTGGCTTGGTGGTTTAGTGCACATCCTAAAAGAGGGTAGTGTTTTATTTATGCAAGTAGATTAGAACAGCTGAGAATAGTATGGCCTTGGGAGTGAGAACTCTAGTAGAAAAATACATGTGTTCATTTTTTAAGGGTTAGGTAAGAGTGTCTTAATGCAGGAAGATGCCTCTACAACATCAGGGTTTTGAAGCTTTTCTGTGGGCAACAAGACTGACTTATGAGACACTGACAGAGTTTAAGAATTTAAAGTTACCAAGTGGGTGTGCTGTCCCAGGACAGAAGCTTCAGTGCAGAAATCTGAGGCAGAAGCAGATCAGGGTGAAGATGCCAATTACTGGAGCACTGGCTGTGCCTGTCTGTAAGTGCTCTAACATCATGTTTGGTGACCTGGGGGGTAAGAAATTGTGAAAGACCATATAGCAGTTTTCTGTGAAAGATGATGTAGGGAGGAATTTCAAGTAGAAGTTGCTGACATATTTAGAGTACTATCTGACTTTGTCCAAATTCTGCTTTTCTTAGTTTGTGTTCACTTTAATAGTTAAAAGCTGCTTTGCTCTTCCCCCTACCCTGCATTTGTTTGGCTGCTTCACCCCTGTAAAAGAACCCTTTTAGTAGAGAAGATAAACCTATTAAAACTGCCTAACCCTAGATCCTTGTCAACACTCCTTGCTGATGATGATCCCCCTTCCAGGTGGGGTCTGTATGTCACTGTACATGTGGAATGAAATTATATCAAAGTGGGCAAGTGACTTCTAGTGCTGCCTTTACTCTGGACCTACTAGCATGCTGGAGACTTAACCTCCAGGAACCTTAGCTGATGCTGCAGAGGCCTTTAGGTGTGTGCTTCTGGTGTGTCATACAAAACTCACGGCTATTGATAGATCTGTGTCATGGAGGAGAGAAATGTGGATTTCTAACAGTTGCCTTGTACCCATTCCTCTTGTAAGTTCAGAGCAGCTGTAACTCAGAGCTCTTTGAAACTCAGAGCCCCTGGGATGCCCCTGCTGTGTAACCTGTCTCCAGTAGCTCAAGTTTTGGGCCTGCTGGTGTGCTTTCTGAAAAGGACCCGTACTGCATGAGTGGTGCTCAGCCATGCTTTGTGTTACAGCACATCTTCTCTTTTGCACAGGCAAAGTGTGTAAAGTATCTGTAATGCTCTGTATTATCCTAAAGCTGGTACTTCCTTCTGTCACTGGCTTTGCTTTCCCTAGCAAAAGTAACACTTGAATGCACCTGGAGAACAACCTTCAGGTTTCATTGTAAACACTTTCTTTGGCATAAATGACTTAGATTATAAGATCCTAAGAAAAGGTAAAAGCTTTATCATTTGCCTGTTTGGGTTCAGCTGTCTCTTTTCTCTCAAATGAGGAAATTACTGATTTTTCATATGTAAGATAAGAAATTTGAATATAATCACAAGCTGCAATGAGTATGCCTTTAAGAGCAAGTCTTTGTGAAACCCACGAAGGTGGCAAGTTTGGTTTTTTTAAACTTTTTTTGTTTTAGTCCTCCATTTCTTTGCATTTCCAGCAAAGTAGTCCTGCTGCAAATGTTACTGCCATTAGCCCAAAGCAGAGTTAACCTTTGAGCCTTCTCACTTGGAATCTCTTTATTTGCATTTACTTCTCAAATATTTAAATGTTACCTTCAAGTTGACAGTTCGTGCTTTGACGGTGACTGTTTCCTCCATGGAATTTAATAAGCTGGACTCCGCTTTTGGAACTGTTGAGGAGATGTACAGTGCCGGGAGAGCTGAGCCCTCTCTGTTAGTACAGGATCCTGGTACATGTTTGTCGCTGGCGCAGTAGTGAAACACATAGAGGCAGATCACAAGGCTGGCAGTCAGGCCCTGTTAGCGCCCTTGTGCGTGTGGGAGAGGAGGTGTGTGCAGCAATGGCCAGATCTCTGTCTGCTGGTTTAAGGCCATGCCTCTGCTGGGCAAACACACTGGAAGGGCAGTGTGGGGGCTGAGCTGAAGGAGGTTAGCTCCTGGGAGAAGTTCTGCCTCCCTGCCTCCTCTTAGCACCTTGGAGAACTGACTGCCTCTTGGC